CCCTACATTTGAACCCTAAAGTTCAAAGTGGGGATCCAGCTTTGACAACTCCACACCTGCCTTTGGTCCCAAGAGAAAATAATTTACCCCACTCCTCTCTCAATTTCTCTCTCTCCATTTGTCATCCCTCCTCCCCCTCCCCACACACACACACCTCCCTCTCCTTTTTTCATCATTAAACTTCCAAGGGCACATTTCTGCCCTCAGAAATGAGGCAGACACCCAACGGCATCCAGTGGCAGTTCTCTTTCCTTCAGAGAATCGCTTTTACCCTGCAAGGATAGAATAATACATGATTAGATGCCACAATGTGCAATGTTTGTCACCCCTTGTCATGCTGCTCTACTGACCATGGCAGTTCTGCTGCTGAGGGGTCAGAGCACTCAGCTTAACAATCAAGAGCTGTGAGCTGAAATGTGGTTGTGGCCATTTTAATTTGTACTGGCAGAGTTTGATTTAGCACAAGCTGGCTACTATCCCCTCTTCCTGTAGTGACAGCACTGCAGCCCAGGGGGTTCGTGTGCTCTGACTGCCCCCTTCAAGTCACCCAAGCAGTTAGGATGCTAGGTTCCCCACTAATTTTCATGGCACCCAATTTTTTTAGGCACCTTGGAGGGGACTGCAGACCAGACATGAGGGGCACTGGCAGAGCTGTGTGGGAGCCCACAGCTGGGATAGCAGGAGCTGTGAGTTGGGATTGAGATGCACAAGCAGAACTGTGAGGGATGGGGAGTGCTGTAATAATTGGGCCTAAAAATTTAACCTAATTTTAAGCTCAGCTGTGAAGAGTGAAAGTTTATGAACCTTCCTATCACATATAACAAGAAAGGTTGATAAGGAAAGGTGCAAAAATGAGACAGAAACTGAATTAGCCCAGAAAGGCCCCCTGATACCATTCAAGGCCTTGAAAACAAGAGAAGTGTGGGACCAGAAATCAATGGACAGAATTGGTGTGTGGGAAATTAGGCCTAATTGGTGAACAAAATAGTGAAGGGAGGAGCTGTTCCACCCATTACTCCTTTCAAAAGGGTGAGTTTGGGAGAAAAATTGTCAGAGGAGAGGAAGCAAATGCAACAATCACTGATTGAATGCAGGGGAAGGAGTGAGCATTATCATCAGGGCTGCTATCCAGGCCATCTCCTGGTAGCACAGGTTCCAGCATAACATGCCTGGGCCTCCTTCATCCAAATCCCAAGAGACATCTGGACCAGAGAGAGGGACCCAGCTGACAAGGCCACTTCCACCAGCTCCAGCTAAATCCCAACCAACACCTGGGATGGGAGACTTTGTCCCCCCGCCCCCTCCACACACACAGACACACACACACACGCCGTGGCCTTTTTTCCTTCCCAATTTATTTTTCCTCTTTCCTACTCCTCTCCTTTTTCCTTCTGTTTAATAAAAGTGTTAGCCAATAGCTGGCCAAGACTGGATTTTTCGCAATACTACGGTGGCTGTGTGACCAAAGAGGCTGTTAAACACAATGCCCTGAACACCCCAGGCTTGTAGAAGCTACCAAGTAGGGTTACCATCCGTCCGTATTTCCCCGGACATGTCCGGCTTTTTTGTCTTTAAATAGCCGTCCGGGAGGAATTGGTAATAAGGTTAAAAGGTCTGGGATTTTCCCCCTTCCTCTCCCTCCCTCCCTTCCATGCAGAGTGCGGCGTGGCTGATTGGGCGGCTGGGCCTGATTGAGCCGCTCCCATTGGCCTCCAGCAGCCAGAGACCCTCCCCTGCTCCCCTCTCCCCCTGCCTCAGCACTCTGCGGGGGGCAGCCCGGCAGCGTTTTGCCTCCACATGAAGCCAGCATCTGACCGGCATGGGCATCGTAAGGGGAGTCCCGGGGGGCAGTCAGGGAGCAGGGGGAGGGTTGGATAGGTCGGGAGTTCGGTGTGGGGGTGTGGATAAGGGTTGGGGCAGTCAGGGGACAGGTAGGGTCCTAGGTGGGCAGTTAGGGTGGGGGATTCTCAGGAGGGGATAGTCAAGGGACAAGAAGTGGGGGGGGTTGGGGATTCTGAGGGGGGCAGTCAGGGGGTGGGAAGTGGGAGGGAGTGGATGGGGCGGAGCAGGGGCTGAGCTAGAGCATGGCTCCCCCCCCCCTCCCCAGTGTCCTCTTTTTTGATTGTGGAAATATGGTAACCCTACTACCAAGTCTCAGAGCAGCTGGTAAGATCATGTGCTAGGCCTGGGTTTCTCCAGCATTGAGGCTGCGAGGGAGAGTCACACCATAGACAGAAGCTGCATTGTCTCTCTTTGCCATTCTTCTCTTTCCCCTCTCGTGTGTGTCTGGTGCATTTTGTCTTCTAGGAAAGAGATTTGGAGTGTAGCAATAGCAGCAACAATGGCAGCTGCAGCCACTAACTTCTTCTCTTTGTCCCCAGAGGAGAGTTATTAACATCTTTAATACCATTTATGAAACTGTCACACAGGGAGTTACGAAAACTCTCCCCAACTAACAGGAAAGGGAACAAGGGATGTAGTTAAAATAAAAGCCTTAGTACTTTACAATTCAAATGCTTGAGTTGCTTTCCCTGCTTTTCTGTATCTTTAATAAAAGGTTAAAAGGATTGTTAATGGTGCGTTTTCCATGGGACTGAGCAAGCTGAGGGCTCTGGGTACCTAACTCCCTTTAACATTGTTTCATCCTGGAGAGTGACAGGGCCAGGTTAACACCATTGATACTTTGGGTCTATATATTCCACCTAAATTAGAGCAACAGAGCCCAGCACTGGGATTGCAGGCATGTGTGGGTCCAGACTGGGGGGCACCTTCAGAGCTGTGAGTTTCTAGGTTGGGACTGGATTGGGAAGGTGCCAGTGGGTCAGGACTCAGGGTCCATCTACACAGCAAATGAAGGTGTGATTGCAGCACGGGTGGGTATCCCTACACTAGCATTAATCTACCTAGCATGGGAAATAACTGCAGTGGGGACATGTTGGCATGGTCTACAGCACCGGGTGGCAACCAGAGTAGGTATGAGGGTCCCTGGAAGGCTGGCACTCGGGCAGCTACTCCGGGGTGAAGTCTGTGCCATCTGATATTGCTACGCACACTAGCTAGGTTAAAGATGGCATGACTACACCCACCCACGCTACAACTGCACCTTCGCTTGCTGGGCAGACACACTCTGAGATGTTTTTGTGGAGCTCAGATCTCTGGCAGGACATGTGCTGTTCGTTCTCCACCCACGCCCTGCCTGCTGGTCCACTGCTTTTAATTGCCAGATATCGGGAAATCATGTTTACCCAATAGCTTACTGGATTTTCCCTCCCACTCCTCTCCCTCCATATCTGGCTGGGCTCTATATAACCCGCTACACAATGGGCAGGAGGATCAGGGTGAGGTTCAGCTCAGCAGAAGCTGGAATCCATCGCTCTGAGAACAGGAAAAATCAAGGAATTGAGTAAGTTGCAGAAGTTTCCACCGGTCTGGACAGAGGAGAGAACAGTGTCACATGGGGCTGCAACCACAGGGTTTGCTTCTGGGAGGCAGCATGAGCTAGTGCAGTGATAGACTTGCAGCTCGCGAGCCGCAAGTGACTCTTTAATGTGTCTCCTGCGGCTCTTTGTAGCAGATGATATTAAAGCACCATGTGATTTAATTATTAACCAATCTCAGTTATTAACCAATCAAGATGTTTTTACTGTTAACCAATTAAGTTATCAGCTTGCAATAAGTCATTTTTATTAATTGAGAATAATATATATATATATATATATATATATAACAGTATAACAGGCAAGTATCTATCATCTATCATCTATCAATCAATACTAAATATTTGCCCGTCACACTGTTTAAATATGACTAGTACTATAGTCAATGAAACAATGAATTCACACTGCTGTGGCTCATTTGGGTAATTTTGATTGCTAATTTGGCTCCTCTGCTACTGAGGTCTGAGTATCACTGTTCTAGTGGTCACAGCATGGGGGCTGGGAGTCAGGACTCCTGGGTTCACTCTCCACCTCTGGGTGGACAACAGAGGGTTAGAGGAGGCGGGAGATGATTTCAGTTGGAGTCTGTGCAGCAGCTGGCACAAGGGCAGGGGTCCCCCCCCGGTCACAGTCTGAGACACCAAACACCTGGGTTCTATCCCTGGCTCTGGGAGGGGAATGAGGAGCAGTGGGTTAGAGGAGCTGGCCCCGATCTCGGTGGGGTCAGGACAGCACCTGGCACAATGGAGCCCCTGATGAGCCAGGTTCTGAGAATGCCTCAGCACAAGAAGAATGTCTGGAAGAATGGGAGGGGCTCTGGGCTGAGTGGGGCCGGCAGTGGATATCAGGAGGGGTGGGGTTTGGGTGCAGAGAGGGGTGGGATGGGACAAGGTTGTGCCCAGGAGGTGCTATGGAGGAGGCAGATCCCCACCTCGCACTGTCTCCATCCATCTCCCCCCTCTCACCCTACTGCAGGTTGATCCAGACAGGCCATGGCTATGAGGGGACCCCGCCCCTTGCTCCTGCTGCCCCTTGTCCTGCTGACAGCCTGCCTGACTTTGGCCAGTGGGTGGTCATGTGTCCCAGAGTTCAAAACATTCTTGAGGAACCATGTGGACTATCTACGGACCTCATTCTACAAGCACAACGCCTACTGCGCAACGAGGATGCGGAGAGTGTCATTATACAAGAAGCCCATCAACACCTTCATCCATATACCCATCGAAGCTATCAAGAGTGTCTGCCGTACGAACGGGATACCCTTCCCTCCTGACCTACGCAAGAGCAAACATTCCTTCAAAGTCACCACCTGCAGATATAACAAGACTCATAACAAGATTCACTTGTACAATGGGACATTCTATCGCCGGCAAATTATCATCCGCTGCTGCTATGCGTTCCCTATTTACTTTCATGAGTAGATGTAGGGCCCAGGCTGGGTGTGGAGTCAGGCAGAGGACACTGTTTCTTCCTCTAACCCCCGCTCTGTCCCTCCCACACTGCTACGGCACCTGGCTCCTCAGCCACCTCCAAACACTAGTCATGTGATTTAGGTGTTTCCACCCCTCACCCTAGTCTGTATAGTATAACCACCCATTACCCATCCCCCACTCTCTACTGTCCCTAGAGCCCATCCCCCATCCTCTACAGCCACCAGTGTCCATTCCCCACCCTCTGCTGCCCCTAGTGCCCATTATACAGTATTACTGCTCCATACTTATCTTGTACTCCCTGCTGCAATATAGTGGCCATCTAAAAAACAGTCATTTGATTAAGAACTATCCATCAGTTTCACCCTTCTGGTATTGTGCATTCAATCTAATAAAGAGGAATCCTGATATTCAGCATGGTTAAGGGTTACTGGACATTATTCTCTTCATTTTTCAATATTTTGCCCCATCTGCAATTCCCTGTGCTCCCTAAATCACTGTCTGGTTGTGTTACACTGGGGATAGCAGGAACAGAAGCCACAGAACAGTTAAGGAGTGCACTGGATTTTTTTTCTGGTTTTCAGAGACTCCCCGAACAGGATGGGCACAAATATAAGTAAATAGAGAGAGATGGGTGTGTGGGGATTGATAGATGGAGAGAGAGAAATGAGTGTGAATGAGGATGGATGGAGAGAGAGACAGAAAGCAGTTTTTGTACCAATTTCCAGTGCAATCCCTAGTCTGGATTCAGCTATAACAGTAGAACCATGGTTCACACCGGTATGGGTTAATCCTCACTATGGTTGGCAACTAGCCCTAGTCATATCAACACTTTTTTAGTGGTATTGCCAAAAACGGAAAAACCCAAGCTTGTTTTTGTCATCTTTCCAGACCTCATGTTTGGATTTCGTTGTGGGTGTTTGAATCCCTTGCTTAAGTCAATCTTGTGTGTATCATGTTATGTTTCTTGTGTGTATGTTTCTGTTTTGTGGGTGTGAGCCTCTTGCATGTCTCCTCTTCCTCCTCTTTTGTTGGGAACATTTGTCTTTTGTGTGTCATTTCTGTCTCCAGGGTTGCTTCTTGCGTGTGTTTCTGTCCTGTGAATACCTTGGTACATTCCTCTGAGGCTACATCTATACTTACCTCCGGGTCCGGCAGTAAGCAATCGATCTTCTGGGATCGATTTATCGCGTCTTGTCTAGATGCGATAAATCGATCCCAGAAGTGCTCGCCGTCGACGCCAGTACTCCTGCTCCGTGAGAGGAGTACGCGGAGTCGATGGGGGAGCCTGCCTGCCGCGTCTGGACCCACGGTAAGTTCGAACTAAGGTACTTCGACTTCAGCTACGTTATTAACGTAGCTGAAGTTGCGTATCTTAGTTCGAAGTGGGGGGTTAGTGTGGACCAGGCCTGAGTGTCTCTTTCCACATACCCACCTTCCTTCCCTTGCCTGGAGCCAATGGGAGAGGAAGCCAAATTGCAACCCACTGCAGCCTGTTTCTTCCAAAACTCCAGACCCGTCTTTGGTGCTAAGAGAAAATAAAATAATTTACATCACTCATTCCTCAATCTCTTTCTCTCTCAGTGTGTCCTTCCCCATTTCTCTCTCCTTCTTTCATTGCTGAAATTTGAAGAACACATTTCTGCCCCTCAGAGATAGGGCAGACACCCAACGGCATCCAATGGGAGGTCTTCTTCCTTCAGAGAATCATTCTTATTCTGCAGGAAAAGAATAATGTAGCAGTTAGGTGCCACAATGTGCAATGTTACCACACGTCACCCTTTGTCATGCTGTTCCACTGATCACTGCAGTTGTGCTGCTCAGAGATCAGAGCACTAATTGCCACAATCCGGAGTGGTGAGGGAAAGTCAGGTTGGGGCCATTTTAAATTTGTCCTTGGAGAGTTTGATCTACCTCAAGCTGGCTACAATCCTCTCTTCCTGTACTGACAGCACTGCAGCCCAACAGGTGCGTGTTCTCTGACTGCCACTCTCAAGTCACTCAAGAAATTAGGACGCCCAGGTCCTCAGTAATTTTCATGAGTTCCGGGACCTTCCGGTGCCTTACATTTGGCTGCAGGTTGAAGGGGCACCGGCAGAGTTGTGGGGGGGTGGGGGAGCTGTTGTAATAACTGGGCCTACAAGTTTACCTTTATTTTAAGATCAACCGGAAAGTGTAAAAGTTGACGAAATCTCCAATCACACATAGCAATAAATGTTGATTGGGAAAGATACAAAAGTGAGACAGAGACTGAATTAGTCCAAACAGACAGGCCCCCTGATTGCACTTAAAGCCTGCATGAAAATCGTCCCTGGTAAACAAGAGAAGCTTCGGACCAGAAATCAATGGATCAAAATTCATGTGTGGGAAATTAGGCCAAACTGGAGACTTCTATAATGAAGGGAGGGGTAGTCCAGCCATCACTTCCTTTGGGTGTCCTCAAAAAGGGGCGGGAGAAAAAATTACAGAGGAAAGGAAGCAAACACAAAATGTTCTGACTGCACTCAGGGGAAGGAGGGAGGATTATCATCATGGCTGCACCCTGGCCAGGAGTGCCGCCAGCTTTTCTGCCGCCCTAGGCGGCTTAAGGTCCCACCCCGAAATGGTGCCCCCCACAGAGGCAGCGGAAGGTCCAGCCACAGAAATACCACTGCGGTCGCCACCCCCCAAATTGTAGCGCCCTAGGTGACCGCCTAGGTCGCCTAATGGGTTGCATCCACCCTGACCCTGGCATCTCCTGGGACCACAGTATGCAGCATTACACCCTGGGCCTCCTTCATCCTAATACCAAGAGACAGGGGTGTTGCCCGCCTAAAAGGCTCGAGGGGACAACAATGGTCCGTCGCCCGGTGTGCTTGGCACCAATAAAGACACCGAGGAGAGAAAGCAAGCCAAGTTTATTTCAGAGCTCTGAAATGGCACTAGGAGACCAGCATGTCTCAAATCCAGTGCAACACATACAAACAACTTTTACCTTTTATACTCCAAACTGTTTGCATACATCTCTTTGTCTGGCTATTCCCCCTTACCCCTCCCTTCCAGACAACTGTTACAATAAGCTCTACATAAGCTTGTGAGAAAACTTTCTCAGTCTTCGCGACCTTGGGTTAGATGCCTGTAAACTAACTACCCCTCCTTTCCCTCCTCCTTATCTCTATTATTTCTGCTAGTGTGAGTGAAACTGCAGCCATCTGCTAGAAACGCTGACCAATACATTTCTGCTTCAGCCTGCTACAGAGCATGTAAGTAGTTAGCACAGAAGTAGGTGAGAGTTCACAAGATGGGGTTTGGGGGTTCAGATAGGCCCAGAGCAAAAGAGTTTCATTGACACTTTTGGCCTTCCGCTCTCCCGAGTTACCTGGTAGCTATGCCTAGTGGACCCCAACAATCCCTCCCTTGAGAACACTCAACAAACCTTTGTCAGAGTTTTCTTATACTCTAAAGACAAAATGCGATTAAGCTCCATGCAATCAGGATTATCAATGAGAGGGTGTCATAACTATAAAGGGAAGGGTAACAGCTCTCTGTGTACAGAGA